TTTTAAACTTTCTGGTCACCTGATTTACTTTTTATTAGTTGGTATATTTCGTCTATATTAACGTGTTGGTTAATTGCATTTTCGTTTGAGTACCAGGCTTCTAAGAATTCCCTGACTGCACTTTTAGTGTTTCCTCTGTCCAAGGTTTTGACATTATCCCAATCAAATTGATGACCATAATTGTCTGTATGCATTGGTACTAAAGAATACATATCGTGTCTTTTCACTGCTGATTTGTGTTCTTGGATTCTAATTCGAAGGAGACGCCCACTTTGGCCGATGTAATGCTTGTTGCAGTTCATACAATTTATTTTGTAAATGGTATTAATTTTATCTTCCTTCTTTTTCGGTTGGATCTTTTGGTTTGCATAATATCGAATTAAGCGATTTTACTGGCTTGTGTGCTATATCTATTTCAAACGATTTCAATATACTAGCTGTTATTTCAGAGATATTACTCATGTGTGGTAGGATGAATTTTCTTGTGGTCTTTGATGATGGTTCTTTGTTGGTGTTTTGATTCGACTTCAAACACTCTTTGATGGAATTTTGTGGGTGACCATTCTTTTTGAAGACCGTTAGTAGGTATTTTTCTTCCATTCTTTTGAACTCTGGAATGCTACATTGTGTTTGAATTCTTTTAAACAATGTCTGCACACAATTTCTTTTGTGAATGAGTAATTGGGTTATTGGTAGTATAGTTGAGTATTTGATCTGTGTGCGTTGATTTTCTATATACTCGTGTTTCGAAATTTCCTGTGTTAGTTCTCCTCTTGATTAAGACATCTAAAAATGGGATTTTGTTATCTAATTCTTCTTCTTTTGTGAATTTGTTGTCTTAAAATATGTTGTTTATTACTTTATGGGTATATTCTAAATCATTTCTCTCAAACATTACAAATGTATCATCAACGTAACGTACCCAGATTTTCGGTTTAATTATAGGTAGAGCTATTAATTCTAATCTTTGCATGACGGCTTCAGCTATTAATCCTGATATGGGCGATCCCATCGGTGTTCCTTTTATTTGTTCATATATTCGAGTATTGAACTGGAAATAGGCTTTAGTATAAACAGATAATTTTTAAAGTAGATCAAATGATAACTGCTTGTGGATTGATTATTTGTGCTAAAATTTACAGTCTCTTGTATCAGAAAATATCTGTCGTCACCGTATTCATTATCAAATAACATTTCAGTAGTGTTATTGTTTTTTTTTCTTACCTGCTAATGGAGTTGCTGGCCTTACATCATCTCCAACCTTCTCTCTTCCTGGAGCTTACTACCTACCACCTGCCAGTTTATTTGCGATTTCGTATCTCTATATAGTCGAATTATGTACACCTTATCTTCAACGCACCATTTGCACAGATCTTCTGTGTTGTGCTTCTTCTTGCCTCCCTTCATATTGTATTTTTCTTGTGTTACTTTCACGTCTCTCATGCATCTCTGCAACGCTATATCATTTGCTGCTTTCTCTGACATCAAATCTATCTGACTCCCTGCTATTTGATGTTTTTATGACGGCCGATGAACATCTCTTTATATATTTATACTACTGATCAGTCTTATCAGTAGTACATACCACAACAGCGTTTTGAATTTCTAAGTTTTTTTTGTTGGTGAGGCAAGCTAAAATAATCGAGAAGATTTGTAGTAGCTCAGGTGGATGATTTTGATTTGGTTGTATTCCCTAACTAAGCTGGTTGATCTAGTTTGCTAAGCTCTTCTAGACATCTTCAATGTGGGCTTTAATATGTAAAGTGAACTTGTTTGAATCCCCACTCCATGAATGATATGCTTGTATCTCATGGCAACCATTGTTATCATTCATTGTTTCTTAATTTACATCTCTACTGATCATCTTTTTTTTCAATTGGAATTTGAAATTTCTTGTCATGTGGTGTTTATTCTTTGTTAGTTTCTAAATTCGATGTATACTAAGTAATGTGTTGAATTATTCGAGTACCAGACAGGCTTCTAGAAATTCCCTGACATTACTTTGGGTGTTTCCCCTCTTGTTTAAAATTTCTGCACTTTCCCAATCGTTTAATTGGTGTTCAAAACTATCTACATGCATAGATAGGATAGATACTACACATCGTGTCTTTTCACAGCTGATGATTTATGGTCTTGGGTTGGGTTCTGAGTCGAAGGGGACGTCCACTTTGACCGATGTAATGTTTGTTGGAGTTCATTCATGCAATTTATTTTGTAGGTGGTATTGATCTTCTTTTGTTGGATGGATCTTTTGACCTGCACAATATCGAATGATGTGATTGTGTTTATTTTGGCTTGTGTGCTATTTCTATTTCAAATGGTCTCAGTATTGTAGTCGTTAGTTGTTTCAGAGGTATTCTTCTTGTGGTGTTTGTTAATGGTTTCTTGTTGGCATAACCATTTGAGTTTAAATACACTTTGATGAAATTGTGTGTGGGTGTATTTATTCTTCCTGAAGACAGTCAGTAGATATTTCTCTTCTGTTTTCTCTTCAGTACTGGAGTGCTACAGTGTGTTTGAAGTCTCTCTTAAACAATGTCTACACACAGTTTGTTTTATGAGCCATTAAATTATCGCGGTTATGATTGAGCATTTGATCTGTATGCGTTGATTTTCTGTATACTTGTGTTTCTAAATTTGCTGCGTTCCTTCTCTTGATTAAGACGTCTAAGAATGAAATTTCGTTGTCTAATTCTTCTTCTCTCGTGGTGAATTTTATGTCTTCAAATATGTCGCTGATTAATGCGTGGGTGTATTCCAAATACCACATTTCTTTTAATTATTGCGAATCTGTCATCAGCATAACCCACTGAGATCTTCGGTTTAATTATGGGTAGGACTATAAATTCTAATCTTTGAATAACGCGGCTTTATCTGTAAATCCTTAATTGAGCGATCCCATTGGTGTTGCCTACATCTGTTCGTATATCTAATTATTGAATTGAAAGTATGTTGTACTATGGTGAGAGCTGTCTGCAAGCCAAAATTGTAGACAACAATTTACGTCAATGTTTACGTCCCGAATCAGGGTCATGAAAAAAACAATAACAAAGCCTAACCTTGAGGAACTCGCCAACCAATCACAGCAGACTTAACGTGTGCAGATACAATTCGCAGATATATGGCTCAACTTTCTAAGAAATGGTCACAAGCAGTACAGAATAATCTTCAACAAGAAAACAACCAATCAGAAGGCGTTTCTTCTCCTCTGACAATAATGTACATAAAAACCTATAAATAATAATATATGTGTAGAACTTGGGCACTGTGGTAGTAATTCCATATAAGTTTGTTTATTAGATATATCACACAGTGAAACGGTATTATTTACTGGATGACGTTTCGAACAAAATTTATTGTTCATAATCATTCCATCAATTATAATCACACGACTTCGAAACTTGAGTTTTATAGTTTTCTTTGTTCTCTCCTATTTGTCGTCGTTGGGGCAGTAGAATTTTCCAGATATCTGGGACAGGTGATGAATCATTCCTATTACATGTATTTGTAGTTGATCCAATAAACAAAGCTTCTGTTATCAATCTCTCCCTATACCCTGTGACATTAGATTTTAAAACTGTCATCCTATCCCATCCTATTGTGTGTTTGTGTAATTGTATGCAGCGAGTGCTATAGCTGGACTTTTCTCTAGATTTCCTATCTTATTTGGGTCAAATAATCTAGATTTCGCTGCTAAGTTTTTATGTTCAGCTAGTCTGACTGCCCCTGTTCTACTAGTTTGACCTATGTATTTGACCTGGCAATCATTACAGGGTATGAGATAAACTAAATTGTTTTGTTTTAAGGGCTCTACAGGATCCTTTAACCGACAAAGCTTGTTTCTAATTGAGTTTGTGGGTTTGAATGCCATTTTTATTCCTGCCTTGTTAACAATTCTGCGTAAAGCTTCCGAGGTTCCTTCCTTGTATGGAATTACTACTGATGATTTAGATTTCTTATTATTGGTGTCGTCATTAATATTATTATTATTATCACTATTATTATTAACATTATTATTATTATCACTATCGCTACTATCATTATTTATTTTATTTTTACATTTCCTTACATATTTCCTGACTAATTTATCCGGGTAATCATTAAGTTTCAAAGCTTCTTTTATGTGTATCAGTTCCTGTTTTAGATTTTCTTTGGTACTACTTAGCTTTTGTGCTCTGTCATTTAAACATTTCACCAATCCTATTTTTACTGACATAGGATGGGATGATCGGAAGTCTAAATATCTGTTTGAGTGTGTGGGTTTCCCGTAAACACTAGTGTTTAACTTCCCATCTTCTTTTCTTTTTACGTTGCAATCTAACATTGGGAGCTCCCCTTCCTGATTTTCCAATTCATAAGTGAATTGAATTGCTTCAACCTTCGAGTTGATGTGTTTGAAAAACCTATCTATATCTTGTGTTCTAAGTACAGTGAATGTGTCATCTACATCCCTCCACTATACTTTTGGGGTGGGGATGACCGTTTCAATCGCTATGCTTTCCCACTTATCCATGAATATATCTGCTACAACTGGGAATATTGGTGATCCCATGAACAATAAATTGTGTTCGAAACTTGTCATCCAGTAAATAATACTGTTTCACTGTGTGATATATCTAATAAACAAACTAATATGGAACCTATAAATAACACTTGAATTTCTGAATAAACGATCTGTTGCCTGGTCCTTGTCTTCTGTCGTTACAATACGACAATTGTATCATCCATCATGGAGAAACGGTTCAAATAAGTTCATTTCATGCTAAAAACCTCCGCTGCAGATGTTATCTAGCTGGGGGGGGGGGGGGGCAAAGAAAGCTTCTCAACTAGATCAACCAACTCAGACAGAGAACACAATTGAATCGAATAAAAGGCAAGCTAAAATTTATCTTGAAACTCACTGTTGTATGCCACACCAAAATTCCTTCGTTTTCCACAAGTTTCTTTATTTTCACACTTTATACTTCCGGGTGTTTTTTTTTTGCATTTTCATAATACAGGTTTGGGAAAATTCTAAACACGATGAAGAAAATACTGTAATAAGTCAAGGATTTTCATGGATTGATCCAAAAAGCATGTCTATATTTTCAAATGAATCAGCCGTTGTGTCGGAGACTTCATTGGACTCATGAAATAGATGATGCCGCATGTTTCTGTGTTTGTGGGTGTGTTTCCATCGATAATATTTATTTATTGACATTATGTGCATCCCCTTCCCCCAAATCACTCAGATTTCGCCGTTGTATATCCGCTTACCCTCAACCTGGACAACAACTGGAGTGTAGTATCTGTTATCACAGACGTCATAACACAGTAAATATGGCAGCTCATACATAGCCCAGTGTACACCAACACTGGGTGCCAACAACTAACCAACATTATTCTAAGTGTTTCTGTCTTCTTGTATATAACGTCTATTTGTTGTTTGTTATGCTGGTTCTACCGATTGTCGAATGGGATATTGTAACTCTTTATTATAATATCAAATTTTTGTGTGAGTAGTTGAATTGATTTTTATATGTATGTATTGATTATTTCCACACTTGACTTGCTCTGCACATTTTTATTTAATGATGTAGCAGAATTTTTGTATCCACACGCATGCATATCTGTGATTCACACAAGCGCTGCATTAATTGATAATTGGTTAATATTAATTGTTTAAATAGAAAAAAAGAGGTGTTTATAGCCTTTCACTGTTCTGGATTATCAATTTTCAAGCTTAGTTGGGATGTATTCACAAAACAACTGGCATAAACATGATCCCCTGACATCTAATACTAAATAGTGAGCGCGATGCATTATTGGGATTATAATATTATAGAAAACAAAACACGTAGATCAGCGAAGAGTCTCTTTTCGGCGAATTCATTTTCTAAGCTGTACAATCGCAAATATATATGTGTTATTTTGTATGTATGTGTACAATAAGTTTATCAAACAAAAATACAATTGGTTATAGTTATTTAAACTAAACAGGTGAAGATTGGTAATTGGAGTTACGTAATACAAAATCAGTGAAGAAAACTAGGTGTTAGTGAAAGTATGGTAGTAACAAAGGTGATGAGTTGTTAAAAGAAGTTATGTAATAGTATGAATAGTTTGATGAGTGAGTTTTACTCAGGATGCACATAGGAAGAAAGTAGACAATACGAAGTTACGTAAGAATTCTAAATGAATACAAGAATTATAAGCAATTAAAGAACAGACAAAGAAACAAAATTAAGTCATCAAAATCAAATCAAAAAAGTTGTTACCAAGACAGTAGAAGTGGTTGAGTAATCCTCTTTTGTATGCACAGCTCCGGTTTTTTTATGTGAATGGCCAGAGCTTCAGTGATACAAAGAAGGCGAAACCGTATTGCCTTTGATAGGTTGTTCTTGACTCTGTAGATTACTTTGAAGGAGGCGTTTGTTGAAATGGAATGATCAGTGTTAACCAGATGTTCAATTATCGCACTCCTTATTGCACCACTATTGCCTTTTCGCAAACATGCTGGATAGTGTTCTTGAATCCTCTTGGACAGGGTGCGCGTCGAACGACCGATGTACCTGGCTCTACAGCATCAGGTGAACTGATATATGCACATAGAAGTCGTCAGATGCTATCAGATCCCGCATCCCTTCGCTGATCTGCGTGTTTCTTTTTCATTAATGCCTGGATGGGGATTATGTATGAATTGAAACTTAGGAAGTACCCCTCGACAGCCCTCTCGGAATCCACTGATACAAGTGGTGAACTCTGATGTACAGATGCAGTTTCACACTGCCTTTCTGTACACTGAGGTGCACTCGTTCTTCTTGTTTTTCTTCAATACGCATGTCTTTAACGTTGTACTCCTTCAGAAGCGTGGGGAAGTCTTTTGGTAATATCCAATCTGGGCCATAGTCTTTCCTAACAGTTATTCCCATTAAATTAAATTTATTCAGAATAGTAGTGAAGTTTAACGAAAGAAGTGTTCTACGAAATGATGGTGAGCTCGAATTGGTAACTCATTAGTTGCTGCCACTGGAAAGCAAATACCCAATGAGTCACAAGTCTGTAAAAGTAATCATGTACTTCATACAAGTCCCCAATGAAGTCATTAACCAGCGAAAAGACATAATATACACATCGATGAACTCCAGTAATAGTGTGGCGAAAACGAAATGACTCATGTATTGGCAAACACCTGTAGTCGACGATGCCACTGTGGAAAATAATTTACTGCGTTAAGTGATACAGTTTAATTCACTCACATCAAGAAATTGGAATCAGTTAGAAAACCATTTAACAAACAGGGAGCATTGGAAAGATGTTTCTTCCTCGTTTCGGACTCTCCAGAAAAACACAGTTATGACCCACCAGGGACCGAACAAAACAGCTCAGATTACAAGGCGAGCTTATCAACCATTTAGCCACTGGGACTGACTGCAGGATAGAGTACCCGGATGGATATCTAGTGAGAGGTTTCGGTCGTCAATGGAGTTCACCAAGTGGCGTATGGGGAAGATACTCGACAATATTATTGGTTGGCGGTGATACTATGCATCGCGAATCAATAGAAGTTGGAATTTTCGGGCCGTTGGATTCCGTCTAAGTGACAGAATGATAACGTGCTCGCGCTTTGTGATCTTAACGTCCTGGATTCGATCCCTGGAAGGGGGTCGTGAAGGGGGCCTGCTACTGAAGAGACCTGAACTAGAAAGAAACATCTGTTCAATACTCCCTGGTTCCCGAAAGATTCCCTAACAGATGTCAGTTCGTAATCTAATTTGAAATCAATCAAATCCTCACTTGAAAAGGATACGTTTATCTGAGTCAGTGTAATATCACAGGAGACGAACTGTTGAAAGTGACAAAGAAAATCAGAAATCCAAATTCAAATTTAACACAGTTTTAACGTATTCCAACCTATAATGATTTCAGAATCCACGGACACCTCCGTGGATACCTCTCACCAAAAATGAAAATATACACTAGTGGGCTAACGAAGACATCCCATCAACAGCACCGAACTTCCGAGGAAACAAACTATAATCTCTCTCGAGATTAGTTATTTGTAACACGACAACATTCTGCTTTAAAAGAATGATTGCTGAACAAAGAATACTGTTTTCGATAACTTCTTCAACAGGTTCTACAGGTTCTTCTACGACCATAACAATTAGAGAATTATTGTTATTAAGTAAGTAGGGTGCAATCAGTCAATTACAGGTTAGAGAGTATCACAACATAATACTTAACTGAATATACTAGATAAATTAAGGCAAGGAATACAAAATTTATGAATTAATAGGAGGTTCCACAATAGGCCATACATAGTAGCAATAGTAGCTGGGATTGTTTCTTTTGCATTCAAAGCTCCAGTTGTTTTAAGCAAAAACTCCAATGGCCTCTGCAAAGAATATTCTTTGTCAACTAATCAGTCTTTTGAAATTTCTAATGGGCATTTTTCTTTAATCAGTTAAAAATTCTGTTCGTCTACAGATAACAAACCCTACAACGCTTCAAGAGTCAGGCCACAAGCTTCACAAGCAAATGCAAATAGAAACTACAGTCCTTGAAAGAATAAAGAAGAAGTTTTGCAGCTCTGTTGAGTGATTCTCATTTGATTGTGTTATCTCTCTCTCTATCTGAGCTGGTTGATCTAATTCCCTCTTCTAAACAACATCAATAGCACAAGTTTTAGTATGAAATGGACTCATCTGAACCATTCATTACTCCTCTATGAATGATGATATGATTGTATCCCATGACAACTATTGTTATCATTCATTGTTTCTTAATTTACATCTCTCTATTGATCATATTTATTCACTTGGAATTTGAAATTTCTTGTCATGTGGTGATTTATTCTTTGTTAGTTGGTAAATTTTATCTATACTAAGAGTAATGTGTTCATTAATCGTTGACTCAACTGAGTACTAGGGTACTTGGAAATTTCCTGACATTACTCTGCTGTTTGAAATTTCTACATTACATTCTCTCAATCGTTAAATTAGTCTCCGTAATTGTCTACACGCATCGATATGAAAGAATACAACATGTCGTGTGTCTTTTCACAGCTGATGATTTATGTTCTTGGGGTTCTGAGTCGAAAAGGACTCCCACTTTGACCGATGTAGCACTTATCGCAGCTGCTCATGGAATTTATTAAACAAATGGTGGTGTTGATTATATCTTGTTTTCTTGTTGGATCTTTTGGTCTACACAATATTGAATGAAGTGATTGTGTGTTGGTTGGCGGCTTGTGTGCTATGTCTACTTCAAATCGTCTTAGTATTCTAGCTGCTGTTATTTGAGAGATGTTCTTTATATATTGGCAGAGTGAATTTTCTTGTGGTATTTGATGATGATGGTTTTTCGATAGCATAACGATTTGAGTTTAAACATTTCTCGATGAAATTATATACGGATGTTCATTCTTCTTGAAGACAGTCAGTAAATATTTCTCTTCCATTCTCTTCAGCATAAGAGTGCTACAGTGTGTTTGAACAATGTCTTAAACAATGTCTGTACACGATTTTTCTTTTATGACTCATTGGGAGGACATGAATTATAATACAAATTAGCTGTCAACAGATACGATATGTACTCTTTACTATCAATGCGTCTAGACAATTACGGACACTAATTTGATGATTGGAAGAATGCAGAAATTTCAAACAGGAGAGGAAACAAGGAAAGTAATGTCAGGGAATTTCTAGAATTCTGTCTGGTACTCAAATGAATCAGCGATTAACAAACACATAACTTAGTATGGATCAAATTTACCATGATAAGAAAGTTCAAATTCGGAGAAAATAAAAATGTTTAATAGAGGTGTAAATTAAGAAACAATGAATGATAACAATGGTTGTCATGAGATACAATTATATCACTCATGGGGATCTCAAAGAAGTCCAAGTCTGAAGCAAATAAATGACTAGACGCATAACACTAATTAGTGTACATTCAAAGTATCTAACACAGTCCAACATGAAGTTAGTCGCGACCCCCAATTGCTCAGGCGTAACGGGTCTGATTGCAACACCGGGTGACACGGGTTAGAATCTCAGAGGGGAAATGAATTCCTCGAAGACAGCAGATACGCCTTGTTAACCGTTGAGTGCCAGAGAGTACGAAACCGACATCCAAGGCTTCCCCCTTCCGATTGCCGCCAACCACTTATTAGCAACAAGTTCACTCTATATTACAGCTCTCGCTAAAGACGTTGTCCAGAAAGACCATGAAAGCTTGGCAACTAAATCAACCAGCTCACAGAACACAACCAAATCAAAATTCAGTCTTTAAATCTGCCAATATCTTCATATGTCCTGAATACCTTATTGAGCAATGAATAATTCTGATTGAATTATGCAGCAAAATGAAAGGCAAAACAGACTCCTGACACTAGAAGTTAGACCAAACGACCACCGGATTTTGCTGCTTTATGTTTCATCATGCCTTGAAATTGTTTTGCTCAAAGAGTGCATTACGAGTAGACAGCGAGTGTCTTCAAGTGCATGCATTACATGAGCAGATATATCACCATAGTTGCATGGAGGATTTCATCATGAGCTGACATTAGTTAGAGAACCACTGGAAAACCTGGGAGTACTGGACAGGTGTTTCGTCCTAGTTTGGGACTCTTCATCAGTACGCGCCCACCGGAATTGGAACCCAGGACCAAACAAAATCCCTACCAAACCAATACTTGAAAATTATTCTGATGCTCACTAGTGGTTGGCCCTATTCAGGCAGTTAACCCGGGGTTCTAGTGGGAAGCCGTGACCAG